TTTGACAAATTTTTCTAGTTATATACCAAAGGGAGTTCACGCAACTCAATTCAATAAAATAAAATTGATTGAAAACATCACAAACCGATTTCTTAATGAGTAGTTGAACTCTTTGAATCCTTCAAGTTTGCCACCCTTTAGGTTAGAGCTAAAAGTGGGTTAATATTGCACCGAAAGGTGGTATTAGTGCATGTAATTGAAGCTAGTTTATTAAATGCAGATAAATCTGGTGACTTGGTCTTCATTCTAAGAATATCTTTAGCACCAACAACTTCAAAATTGCCCTTTCAAATAAATTGATGTCAATTTTATATCTGATTATTGTATGATATGCTAATTAATAAGTCTCAAGTACAACAATATGTGAAATTTATTGGAGTTGATTTGCGGACACTAGTCTTTAGTCATGGAAACCTATATGTGACGTCATCTAGATGCACATCTTTTGTTCATGTATATGTCTTTCTTCCAAAAGATGGGTCAAACTGTATGACAAATATTGTGTACCCTGATGTTTTGTTGTAACATTTCGTATTCTATAATAACTAAATGGTATAAATCATTTGCAAATTTATTTATACTAATGACAAACATTTTAACAATGTTATTTTATCTTTACAATTTTATTTAGTCTTTGTAGAATTGGAATGAAGAAGTGCAAGAGTTAAAAAGATTAAATACAACACATCTTTGTCGATGGGGTTGTTTGAATAATGTAACTAAATTTATTCTTTATAGTTTATTATTTTCTTTTTCAAGTTTATAGCCTTTATAAGTCTTGTTGTATACTAAATTTTATTATTTTTGTAAATACTAGATTGTTGTATATTCCCCCAACTGGAGAATGCGGATTTATATTGATACAATGACATTCAAGGTCGTGATGGAGAGAGAGAAAGTTTGATGAACCCAATGATGGATGACCTATTTTGATAGATTAAAGAATAACCCATTTTGCAAGTGTATTGTATAATTACATTTTGAGGTCATTCTTTAATCTTATGGTTAATATTATTGTGATAATTGATAAATAGTTGTGTTTAGGCAAGATTATGAGTTAATTTTGTTATAATTTTTGTTGTAGGTGGTAAATAGTTGGAAATAGGAAGGACAATGGTTATTATTAGTGTGTTTTTTAGTAATTGGTAAATAGTTATTTTTAGGCATGATGATGATGGTTAATATTATAATTTTTTGTGGTAGTCAATAAATAATTAGGTTTAGGCAAAACGATAGTAAAAACTATTATGTTGGTGTGGTATTTAGTACATAGTTAGAGCATGCATAGAACATGGTTTGAGTAAGATTATGAAATATATAAGTTTTGTAGACATATGAATATATTTGTGGGATTAAATTTTCAGGGGATACTACGCCGAAAATTTGAAAGTTCCTGTGAGACCCAGACATACATTGCATTAAGTTTACTTTTGAGTAATGATGGAAGTTAATTATTTTTAAAAAATTGAGGTGATAAGTGTGATTATCTAAAAATTTTGACGAGTTAAATTTGAGATATGTCGGAATTAAGGCAAGTTAGTCATTATACATTATGTTATATTTAAGCTACAAGAGTGAAATAGAATTTAAGTTAGAAGGTTGGGATTAAATTATGATTATTTAAATTATTGGAAAAAATATTATGGGAGTAAATTATAAGAGTTAAATTCTTCAAGGGAGGAAAGTGTAATTAGTGCGTAAGGTTGTAATTATTCGAGGTAGAAGGCAGTCAGGTTAAAAAGAAAGGGACAAACGAAAAAGGAAAAAAAAGGAAGAAGAAAGGAGAAAAAGAACTGTAGCTTCGAGTGAAGATCCGACAGTGAGATTAACTATGATTCTTACAAAATTTGAGTATGTTATTTATCGTAGTTTGGATTTCATATCTATCGGTTTAGTTTCTTCAAATGAAGTTATTTTTTTATTTTATATTTTCTTTCAATTGATAATCTTTTGGGTGGAGAAAATGCTCGGTATGAAAGCTAGAATTCAGTTGAAAATGTAATTTTTCTTCACTGAAGTTGAAGTTATTATGAATCTGAATTTTTGAATCAAGCTATATGGGTTCAGAGTTGTATGTACAAATATAACTCTTGGGTAGAGTTTTCATCAAGGAAAGAAATAGAATTTCATACTTAGTTGACGGAATTGTTTAAAACTACAAGCTGGAATTATAGTTTAGTTGTTAAAAGACTTTAATTAAAATTGTTTACATTGATGCCCTAACTCGTTTTGGATGATTGAAAGATTATGGGAGATTTATGGGAGAGTTTTGATTGATTTTGGAGTAGATTGAAGTGGGTTTTGGTTCATGGGTTTTGACATACAACTTGGATACTAGGTGGAAAAATGGTGATAACTCTCTCTAGAAAATTTGAATTTGTGCACTATTTTTCAATTAGAACACAAACTCATAGATCTTTCTAACCATATATGATACAAAATCTAATTCTATTTGTGTGAAAACTAACATCAGTTTGAAATTGACTAAAATACTATGACTAATGGGAAAAAATCAGATTAGTATTTTTATAAACAAATAAAAACATAACTTTTTACATAGAACCTCAATTTTAGTTCATGACCTATGGTTAGAATGCTTAACAAGTGTACTTTATGATTAATTTGGGTTTTTGTTATTTTAGTAAGGATAGAACCTTGTTTTAATTGAACTCGTGTGATGAGTCCACATGTTATTTAATGCATGTAAAATGTTCGAAGAAATGTTTGAGTGAAGCGAATGAGCAAAAATGGGGTTTAAGTGACCCGACCTTATTTGAGTTGAATATGGTATGAAATAAATTGGATTGGGTTGGATCAAAGAAACAAAATATTGAAAAATTCGAATATGAGAGATATTGGACAACTTTGACACTTTTTGGTAAAATGAGCATAAGGTTTTATAGAAAACTCGGATTGACGTACAGTCAATTTTGTTGAAAACTAGATTCAGAGACCTTTCTAATGGTATGTGGTAGAACATCATATTGTTCATGTATGAATTCAATTTTTAGTTTAAAATAACTAAAAATAGTCCACTTATTAAATTCGATAACTTGTTGGAAAATAATCAGAACATGATCTATGGGAAGCTCACCTATTGTTAAAAGCCTTAAAAAACTTACTTTCTAACTCATTTGGTTTCATGTTGAGTTATTATGAAAATAAGTCATGTGATTAGAGTTGTCTTGATCTAAGTCAAGTTGAATCAGAACGATCAAAACTTAAAATGAAATATGTTCATCTACATACATTTGCATCTGTTGAGTTATTTGGAGTTGAAACTCATTGTGTATAATTATATGATTTGTGTTAGGTCCAGAAGATACTATATCGATTCTACTTAGGAATCAAGCATAAAGCTGAGTGATATGTTGGTTGATGGTGACATTTGAAGTGTACTGTTTCATAATAATTGAAAATAAAAATTTATGACTAATATTAAGTCTTGATGACTTGATTTATGTTGGGTTGAGCAAATAATGGATCAAATGTGTTTTGTTGATCAAATATGTTTTGTTGAAAAGCTTATGATTTGAGTAGTATTCACTGTGCTAGAGTTGTTGATAGCTTGACATAGATTACATGTTATTGATTTGGACCCTACGCAGTTGTCATGACACAACTTGACATTACTTAAATGTTGTAGTAGATAGTTTGACATTTGTTTAAATGTTGCTGCTGACTTATAACACATGTAAAATATTTATTATGTTTTTATTTTGGCAGTGATAATGAGATTTTAAAGTGAATTGAAAACATTTTGATTTTTTTGTGCTCCTCATGTTGTGAACACATTTTGGTAAAATGACATTTGATTCATATTTTTAATATTTTCATTTATTATGATGCGCAGTACACTCAAGAAAATATTTGTTTTCAGGAAGTTGAAGCTTAGAGTCATGATAGAAGATTAAGGAAATTGGTTGTTTCCATTTTTGTACAAGAGTGTTCATTTCCTTGTTAATGTAAGGGATGAATTGAATTCACTAATGGTATTATTGGTTTAAATGTATTTATGAATTACAGATGAAGACGTTGTCACGTGCCAAATTATACTTCCATCTTTGGGATACCAAATAGGTCTTTCGGGATGGGGTTTGATCTTACATTGATTTCATTTTATCTCATTAAAATAAATCAAAGGGAGCTTGGTTTTTGAGTTGGGCAAATTTTAGAATGACCCAAAATGTATTTCAAGGATGTATAATTTTGAATTGGGCAAAACTTAGTTTTTTTTTTCATTGAGGTAGAGATTGATTAGAAGTAGTTTATGTCATTTGTTTGTGTGATTAAAGATGTGTGTGTTTGAAAAATTTTATGTGTTTATTCCAAGTGTTTAAGAAAATGGTTATATCACATAATCTTATGTTTGGTCTGTCATTTTTACAAGTATTCATATAGTTGTTCATGTAGGAAGAATGAGTTTCTGTTGTTTTATATGCATAAATTGTTGTACAAACACATACATTTTGCTTGATCCATTATATAGGCACCACAAATTATTTTGTGGATCTTCGTTTAGAGACAATACAATTTGATTGAATTGGTACAATATAAGTTAAGGATTGTCAATCTGGTTTCATAATTTATTTGTTTTGTTAGTATTTTTTAGATGGTGAACTGTGTAATTAGTATTTTATTGATTGTTTATACAGGTCGATAGTTAATTGGGATTCAATTTTTAGGAAAAATTTTGTCCAAATATTTTTAAAAGAACAAAATAAATTATTTTAAATTAAATATTGACAATTTTGCTTTTAGCATACATGGTACATTCAAATTTTAACATTCCTTCTAACAATTGAAACAAAAACATTCTGACCCACTTTATTTCATCAAAGTCATGACATTAAAAATGCAGTTTAGACTTTTAGCTTGATGAGCGTTTATGTTTAGCGTTTGATTGTTTCGTGTTGTAAGAATAATGTTTATTTACATAATTTTTTGATTTGTACAGTATACCTTTAGCCATTAGTTATCTCTAGTACTATATATTATGTATGAAGACAACCCAACACAAAGCAGAGAATGGACAGTTGATGCTTCAGGTGCTTAAGAGTGATTGGGCTTGTGCTCAAAGGGCTTTGTCTGAGGCATCTTCCGGTGCTGTCATCCCAATCCTCCGACTGATGAAAGAGTTACCTGTAAGTGTAATCTGTTTGATATTTATTCTTTCTGTTTTGCCCTAAGACCCTCTGTTTGATTGCTGAGAAATTGGAGGAAAACACAAAAAATTGAATTTTGAATCATTCGTTTTCTGGGTATTTTTTTATCAGTTCTGGTGGCTGAAAGATAGAAAATTTAATTCCACGTGTCTAATCTTGAATGACCCAAAACTATCAAAACTCAAATTTATGTTATTTTCATGCTTCTTCTCAGCTGCCAATTGATACAAGCTTTTCCAGTAATTACAAACATGAAGATACTAAATTATAATTGCCTTTTCTTTTTGCAGTTTTCATGAATTTACGAACCGTGTTCTAAAAAGACATTCCAAAACATAAACTTTGACGTGAGAAATGAAAAGACCTCTAAACAAAATCAAATCTTAGGTCTTAATTATTTGGCATCGGCTATATGAATTCGTCGTTCGTCATAAAAAATTATTCTCTTGCCAAAAGAAAGTTTCAGTTCTGTTTCCTGACATCTTCAATCCATTACGAGCTTAATTATCTTATGGCCTCCGAATTCGACCAAAAGAGTTATGAGATCGCTCCTTCACTCAATATAAAACATCAAAGTATTAAAGAACACACAATCTAAAATCCTAAGAAACTTCAAATCTAAAGAAATCAGTGGTCCATTGATCGAACAATACGAAAGAACAAAACAGAGCCCATTATTCGAACAATAAGAAAGAACCAAACAACACAACTATATCTAAATAAATATTAATGATTCTATATGTGTGTGTGTGTGTCTAGAGAGAGGGCAATTGTAGAATACCTCTGTTTTGCGGTTGAACAATGGGTCTTGCAGCCATCTCAGAGCCTTGATTCTTCCAAGAACTCCTCCAAATCTTGAAGATAAACTCGCCAACCCGTATACCACTAAACCTTCCTTCTTCTGGGTCTGTGATCGTCTCACCTCTCTCTCTCTCACTCTCTCTCTCAGCAGATGAATTCTTTCTCAGAAATAAAAGATTTGGGGACTCAGAGTCAGAAGACGCACCTATTTGAAGCTACAGAACCGGCGCTTCACTCCCAGTCCTAACGGTCTTATTTGTTTGAAATCTCAACCGTTGGATCGCTGGCCGATCCGACAGCTTTGATTTGGTTTCGAAAATCCGCACCGCACAGAGCCGTCGAGACTGTTCAAATGTCACCGTTAGTGTTAAGGGTAAATCAAATAAATGCATACCTTTGTTTTAAATTATTCCAATTTATCCCCTGTAATATATAATTTATTTTAATCTATCCCTTCTATTAAAATTAATTATTAAATAAAATAAATTAACGATTAATATTAGCTAAATCTTTATTATTTAATGATAACTTTTAATAAAATTTATCGGTTAATCATAACCGAGGGAATCATTTAAAATAAACAACATAGTTTAGGGAATAAATTAAGATAGTTAAAAAATTAAACAACAATTTGAAATAAAAATTATATTTCGAAAGGCACTTATTATTAATAATAAGAGGGTGTCATCCATTTATCCATAGTGCCATGGAATTGCCATAGCACGCTTATTAAGAAAAAAATATAATGTGAGAGTTGTGATAATTAGAAAGTTTGGGATAAAGATTGATTGCGGGTTTTGTATGTCAGGAAACATGGCCTCGGCCGGTCGCATGCGTCGGACAGATGACCGTTGAGAGAGCTGGTGTGAGGTAAGGAGCAGAAAAATTTATAGAGGATAAAGATTTAATTTATTACATGTTTTATTAGATATGATTTTCATTTATAGAAGATAGTTATTGCCTGTGCCTAAAGGCACAGGGTAATAAAAAAATGGTCAACAATAAATATATTTGTATTCACATCTAAAATCAAATTACAAATATAGAAGAAAAATAAAGAAATTTAAGTACCGGTTATAATAGGAGTGAGCGATGGTAGTGGTGGTGGGATGGCAACGGTGGCGATGACGATGGTGGTGGTGGTGGTAGTGGTGATGGTCGTGAGGGGTGGTGGTGAGGCGATAGGGTTGTGGTTGTAGGGGGGTGATGGTTGGATAGTAGCGATGGTGGTAGGATGGTGGTGACGGTGGTGATGGTGGTGGTTAGGCAGTAGGGGTTGACGATAGTAGTAATAGTGACGGTGGTGATAGTAGGGGTCAGTGGTAGCTGTTGTGACAAAGGTGGTGGTAGTGGGGGTGGCGACGACAGTGGTAGAAAAGTGGCAGTGATGGTAAGGTGATAGTGGGGTGGAGGTCACAATGGTGATGGTGGGTATAATGGGGATGGTGATGGTCGGGCGGTGGTGGTGATGGGTTGGCAACGATGGTGATGGTAAATGGTAGTATGGTGATGACAGCGATGGTGGTGATAAAGGGCGAGGAAGGTAGTGGTAATGGTGATGGTGGTGGTGTGGTGATGGGTGGGGGGTGGTGACATAGGTGGTGGTGGTGGGGTGGCAACGGTGGAGGTGATAGTGGAAATGGTGATGATAGTGGGGGTAATTTGGTGGTGGGGTGGGGTGGCAATGGTGGTGGTAATAGTAATGGTCATCAAATTAATATTTCTCTTTAATTTAATATTAAGTTATTATTTATTTTTATCAAATCAATATAAAATTGACATTCAATTTTATTAAATTAAATTATTTAATTTATTAAAAAGAATATTAAATTTCATTAATTTAAAATTTAATCTTATCAAATTAATGTCATTTCTTTAATTTAACACCAAATGAATTTAATTTTATTAAAAGTTTAAAACAACATTCACATTTATTCAATTAACATTAAAATCAATCAAATTAATATTTAATTTTATCAAAATTAAGATCAAATTTATTGAATTAATATTAAATTTTATCAAATAATTTTAAATTTTATATATGAAGTATGATGTGTGAGAGGGCGGTCGGGGCGACGTTGTGGAAGACATATGATAGCAGAGGAATTAGAAATGGATGAAATTTTGACATTAACTTTATCGATTGTAATTTTTATTATAGAAAAATTATTTTTAACTATAAAAATTAAAAAATATAAAAATTATAAAAACTTGATTTATGTAACCAAGTGAGTGATAATATGGAATAATATGATGATTGAAATTACGTTTGTTGGCTGTCTAGCACATATATACAGGGGTTGTCATTAAATTTTGACTCAACTACATGGTGTTTAGATGAAATTTTTCCTAGATATAATATTTAAATATAGTATGTCTTCTATCTTTGTACTATATATATGTACAATAAAGATGTGTGTATGATATGAACAGTAAAGATGAAGAACAGTTGTATTATGATAGAATTTTGGAGAGACATGTGTCTAAGTTTGGAAAAAGAATCATGAAAGATAAGAGTGTGAGAGACAGTGAATGTCTCAGTATAAAAAGTGATTCCTTAAAATAAGAAATAAAATTAGAAAAATAATTATAAGAGTTGTAATCTGCATTTTAGGGAGAGAGACAGCGACAGAGTTGAAGAATGAGAGATCGCTTAATTACCGGATTTGATTGGGTTGGGGAATTAATTTAGGGATGTTAGTTTTGGAAACTAAAAGTTTTGAGCGGCAAAAAATTTCAAGAGTTAATATGGTACGTCGGATCGAAACGATCTGAGACGTCAATAGATTGAGACAGATTGAAATATCTTCAGCCGTTGGATAATGCATTTTTTGGTATCGAAATGATCTGAGCCACTTTTTGTCTATTAAATTCAAAATCATTCTACTTTATTATATAAATATGAAGGAATGTTTCACTTACTTCCCTTAGGCCCTGTTTGGTATATTTTTTGGAAAGGGTTTGAATTGGATTGTTTAAATTCGGGTTTGACTCAAAGATGATTTTCAAATATAGGATTCAACATTTAATGATGTTTATACCCATGTTTGGTATGCGCAGGGATATATAATTATTATGATAATATATTTATATATAAATAACTATTGTACCCCTTAACCAATTTGTATATATGAGATATATAGAATATATAGGGGTATAAATATCATTTGCATGTTAAACCCACAAATGAACCCCCTTGGGATGATAATATATTTGTATATAAATAACTATTGTACCCCTTAACCAATTTGTATATATGATATATATAGAATATATAGGAGTATAAATATCATTTGCATGTTAAATCCCCAAACCCACAAATGAACTCCCCTTGAGCCCAAGTATGTGGGTTTCGTGATTGGGTCGAGTTTGAAATCCTATCCATATTTTATAATTGTCAATATTTTATAATTGTCAAACATGAATTTAAGGGGATTTACTCTCAAACCCATGTTTCCAAACCCCCGAAACCCACGTGCCAAACAATCCCTTAATATTTTGTGGAATAACATCCACAACCGGATTTTTTTGGGAAACACCCATGGCCCCCCCTGATATTTTGTCACCGTCGGATTCGGTTAGATCCACCCTGACAGTGAGAGGATATTTTAGTAGTTATAGGTAACGAGACAGAAAAATAATTGCTGATCGTGAGTAAATATTGAATGCAACGTTGTTACATATAAAGTACGGATATGGATACAGATTATGAGTATAGCATAATACGAATACGACGATACGATAAAATTTAAAAAAATAAAATACGAGTACAGCTAAGATATAACTATAAACTCCTAATATAATGAATATTTTATCATTAATCGTATAATTTTATAGAGATGGTTATAAAATATGTACGACTCCTAAAACTCCTAATTTTGGTCCAGTAAAAAACTGACAGGAACATTTTTCATCACCTATTTATTCCATCCCCTTCCCTCCAACCACTCCTAAATTAGTGGTATGTGTAACACGGTGGATGGAAAAATAAAATGATGAAAAATAAAAATTATATATTTTTTATTTTTTATTTTTCAAGTGAAGAATCATTCTTTCTATTGTTTGTGTTTTGTAAAAGGGACGAAAAGTAGAAATGGTTGGTTTTTTGTGTTTAGTAGCAAAGGCGGAATCAAGAAACTTTTTTTTTTAGGGTGAACAGATTAATATGTTTTAATTTTTCATATTTAATATTAAACATAAAAAAATTAAAAATTGATATACATAGCATGAACAAATAAAAAATAATTAAATTTTTTATCAAGAGTGAGACTAATTATTGTCACTTACAATTGACTGTGACGTGTTGTTATCATTTGAAAGAGTTGCAAATTAATCTTATAAACAAATATTTTATTATTATATAAATCGTGTTAACAATCTTCCATTTATGTCCATATATTTTATTACATAATGACACTCATTTTTATACAATTAAAAATAACCCCAATATATTTAAAACTTATTTGGAGATATTTGAAACGTGTCTAAAAATTAAGAATAATACTAGTTGCACTTAATTTGAAATTTAGTTGTTTGAGACCCAATAGTTTTGTGACCATTGGATGAAAAATAAAGTTTATTAAATATTGAGACTCACTATTAGGCGTAATATCACAATACATTAGGTCCTTAAATTAAGTTTCAATAATATTATTTGAAAGTAAGTGATTATTTAGGTAAAAGTATATTTAAATCGATATCATCAAACATAATCATAGGATGGACACAATTAAATAAGTCTAAATTTTATTTCAAAAAATACATATCTAATATATTAAAAAAAATTGAGGATGGGCACCCATATGTGGCTCTGCCTCCCTATTTGATAGGATGTAAAAGTGAGAGGATGAAAACGATATATATACATGTTTTACTATTATATTTATACGTAAAATTAATATGTACATAATATAATAGATAAATATGATATATGTATATATTAAAAGATATAAAAATAAATAATATACATTTTAACAAATATAATTAACTTTCTTTTTAATTTTTCTCGTAAATTTAGAGGGATAGATTTTGGTAAGTTAGAAAAAAAAATTAATTCATCCACTTTTTCATCATTTTTACTTCTTTTCCTCATCAAACATGATGTTTTATTTATTTTTTCAACTTTCAATACTTCTTAGTTTTTATCTATTTATTTTTTTATTATACCAAACAAAGTATAAGAGAGGAGTCGAGTGAGGGTACTTGTCCCCTGAAAAATTGAGGGAAACGAAAAGAAAATATGAAATTTTGCAACGCATTCATTAATCATAGGTGTTGTTGATATCTTAATTGGATGTATAGATTCACTAGTTATGATGTGGATTGAACCTTCAAGGAGACCCTCGTTCAAATTCTCCACCATTGTCTAACCCTCCCTTGCTTTTTTCTATCTTGAAAGACTGGTGGGAAGTTTCCAATGTTTTTATGTAAGTTTCATGGTTCTGATCTTCCAAGTTTGTGTGGAAGTTCTTCATTAAAATTTTCCAAAGGTCAAGAAGCTCAAGTTTGATCATCAAACAAATGGACAAGAGAAAATCTAAGTTGGGTCATTTCATCTTCCTGACAATTTCTTTTCTTTTGTAATAATAACAAGAAATCTTACAACCACGCAAGACAAATCTCAGATGCACCTACTACCATGCGCATCGGGAGCAATTTTATGTTTCGTCTATTGTTCGATCACTAAACCAATCCGTATGGATTTGCTGACAATATTTTACTCACACCTGAAAGTATGAGTTCTTTCATATGTCCAACTTTTCCAGATTAAAACAAGTCATGATTGCATCCATGGTAAGTTTGTTTTTTGAGGTGGTGGGTCTGTTTTTTTGTGCGTGTGTGTGTTGGGGGAGGGGGTTGGGGAGGACACCAATTGCAAAACACCATGGGCACCTAGTAGATCCTATTATTTCACTAACCATTAATAACACCACCATATTCAATAACTACCGCATTACAATAGTATGATTCACTTGCGTTTTATAATTGGTTGATGATACCACGTGTCAATTATGATACGGTATCACCATTACACGAATATTTAATTGGTTTTTCCTGTTAATAAGGGGGGGGGGGGGGAACTACAGAAGGCACAAAAGTCAAAAGAAGGTAAACCAATAATGCCAGACAACAGTGAAATAACCGAGTAAATGAGTCGGAAAAAGAAACAAAAAGTGACTAACAAACCATAATATTTGAAGAAGTTACAATGAAAATCAACAAAGTATTTGCATACATTGAGAAAAAGCCGGGTAACACTCTCATAATCATGGGAACATCCAAATACAGATATAAATAAGTTCAGAGATGTATGAAATACAGATAAGATCATGTAACCTATATACTCACACGTTGAATTAATAGAACTACACTGTTTCTTGCATTCCTAATGATAGCAATTGTGCAATCTCCTTAGGAATTCATGATGGGATGTTAAAGTGGAGGAGCCAAGAAATCACAAAAGCGAATACCATGCAAGCAAGGAGGAAATTTAGGACACGGTGACCATTAAAGCAGCATCGGGTCTCTGTACCGGTGGACACTGGTACAGAGGCTCCATTTGTTTCCAAGGTATTGGTCTCAATTGTCTGCTGTGCCAACTCAACATCATTCACGCTGACGACATTGTGTGCAACTGAATTACAAATTTCACAAGTCCTGCAAATGATGAACAACACTAGAATAAATGGAGCAGAGAAATTAGAGAAGTACAGGATTGCCAAAATGCAGGATTGTTTGCCACTTATTTAATTTTTGCAACACTTCTAGTTGATTTATTACAAATTGCCAAAAATGCAACCGAGGAAGTAATAAAATCACTTGTTCTTAAACTAGACTATAGCCAACCAGAAAACCAATCTATATACATTCCTATTTTCATCAAAGTAATCTACGGGAGTTGGTGGTGATGGTATGCATTCATCATAAAAAGAACAAAGATGGTTTCCCATTGAAATTTTTTTGACAGAAATTAAATTAAAGCATGCAGACCAGAACACTTGTATTTGGTTTTCATAAATTATGCTTATTGAAGATAACATATAACCCGTATGTTAAGCTTTCATGACGGACATTTCTGCACACATTTATCATGGTTTGATCCTTCTAGATTCACTAGTGACATAGTCGCATGAGATTAGCATTCTTGGGTTATTCTCACTACAGTTCTTTGGACTAATAGACAGAACTTACAAGTTTGCAGAGATGGAGACAGATTCTAGATACGTAGGTGCCTCAAATCTTTTGGCTTTGAAATACCAAGGTTCAGAGGCAAGCAACTAGTCAAAAAGGTGATCATTGAGGGCTCCATATATTGCTTTTCAACAAGAAGATTCTTCTATTTTCAGTCCCTTAGAGTTGATTTTGGCAGATCAGAAATCAAGAAGAACTGTCTAAAGGACTTCGAACTATGTCTCATAGCACACTAACAAAACCAGAAAATATGTACTAATTTGTTGAAACATGAACTAGCATCCTAGAGTTTTAAGCTACATAACATTTTCATTACGTGCATAGGAAATGTAAGTGGTGGTGAACATTTTTCTCAATGGGCCATTTGTCATGATTAATATATAGACTTCAATTTCTAAGTAAAATGTAACGCAAGTGCACACGTCCTCCGACTGCTGCATAAGAGAACTAAATCATTAATGATATAGAAGAAAACCTCCAAAATAACTCAAAACATTTTTAACTTTTATCCGGTTATCTGGGGAAAAATAGCTAGATCGTCAACTTAGTCAATTATGGTTAGGATCATAATTCAGGACCAAACTCTCTCTCCCACTCTCAGCCTCATGGAGAGCCATATTGGTGCATAAAATTAATTCTAGACATGGTAAAAAGTGGTGCAAGGAGACTTTGCGGACAAATGGTATCAACTATGGTACATGGTGGTGTGTAGACTTGCTACACATACTGATGTGGATGCCAAATGAAGTTATCAACACACAATCTGTCAAAGTTCAAAAGAATCACATCCTTCTTTTTTTGACTGGGTAAACAACACATCAGAAGTTCCAGTCGCTTTAAGCTCTAAATTCGATATCAATTGATATTTAGAAGTTAAAACCTTGATTATACATATAAGGAAAAAGGTATCTATCACTAGAAACATGGAATATTAAGAAAACCAAAAAATTAGTATATAGGGAATAAAATATACATAGTGGAGCAGCGTCACATAATAATCTTCTGCCAGGAAAAAAATTTGAATATATAAACCAAAGAGTCAAATCTCCACTTTTCTAAAGAAAAGGGAATCTCAAGGATGAGATAAGAGAACTTGCTAAACTTTAAAAAAGAACAGCACAGGAAGGAAATGTCAAGTTATTAGATAAATGAGTAATCCTTCCACTTGCTTTATTCTTTTTTTTTTTTTCCATCATTTTCTTTAGTTATCACAATCTTTCCTAACTTTGCCTTCCCCGAAACTAAACTACAGTACCTCATAAAGCAGAGCAACCTTCTATGTTATACTTGAGAAACTAACTATTCTCATAAATTAGACATTAAAAACACCCTAACATTATAATCATCACAATCATCCCTTTAAACTAAGCGAAAGACAAAGGATCCAAGAGATTATATACAGTTATGTGTGTGTGTTGTGTCTATATCTAGTTGTAGTGATAATGAGTATATACAAATAGACCATGGACTGAGCGATTATACTGAGTCACATGATGTGAAGATTTGCATAATGCTGGGAGTTACCAAATGGGTATCTAAAATTTACCACAAAACACTAAACTTCACCCAAAACTTTCAAGTAATTAGAGCAAACAGCATGAAAAAATTGGGATTTTGTTTTACTCACTTGTTTCCCTTAATCTTGAACCAAGTATCAGCACAATGCTTATGAGCTGCTGCTAAGTCATCTTTACAAGAACAACCCAATTCAATGGCAATCCCAGACTCAGGACCAGTACTCTCCAAACTCAGATGACAGATTCGACAATCTCTCTCTGATTTCCTCAAATGCACTTTGATTTCACCCACCTCATTTTCGACATCCGCCGAACAATCAGATTCGACCACCGAAGAAACCTTCCTAGATTCGCCAATCTCAGAGTCAGAGGCACAAGCAAAACAATAGTCATCATAAGAGCCATCAGCTGTGGAATAGAACTGAGAATAACAAGAACCCTCGTCCGCGTCGGAGAAACAGAGACTACCCTCATCGCTGGTAGCTCCACCGCGGTGATCACCGCATTCTAAATCGATGTGGGACATCTCAAAACTCGCCATTTCAAATACCCAGAACCAATAACGTGCAATTCAATAGAAAAACTGAGCACCAAAACCTCCAAACATGAAGCCCTTAGAGGTTTAGAGTTAAAAGAATTGAACTTTAAGCTCTGACAATATACAGAGCTAAACATATAAGAATTTGAATGAGGGGGTTATAGATTAGGTGACCCTATATCTTTCCATTTTTGTCATTTAGCCGAGAGAGAGAGAGAGCGAGAGAGAGAGTATGAAAGTTCCAGGTTAGTGTTTGTGAAATGCTGGGTAAATATGAGGTCTTGAGGAGGAAAAATATAAGAGATTATGAGAAAGATGGACACAATGGTGTCATGGTCTCGGTGGTACAGAGATTTTTTTTTTTGCAGTGGGAGAGACGGTGAAAAAGATGAAAGAGAAAGGTGGAGTGGGGGCTGGGGGCACAATGGTGTGACAGACGATTATTGATGTCCCAAATAGAATTATAATTTAGTGATTTCAAGATTATTAATCCATCAAATTTAAAATAACTTAATTTGTTTAAGTGTTTTATTACCAAAAAATTGAGCTAGATTTTAAAATTTTATCATTTTTTGCTCCAATTTTAATTATGAATTTTTCTCGTTGACTTCAACTTGAATTCCAACTAGTCGGAGGTGGAGTGGAGTGTAGGAGTTGAGTCAATTTATATGGGGCGTTCTTATTAGAGAAATAGTCTTAATTTAAGAAAGAACTAAAATTAAGAGATTTTAAATTTGAATTAGTTTAAATTTGGTTACATTTATATTGGGAGGGATTAATGTAATTCGTTCTAGGTTATGGAACCTAATAGTATTGGATTTGAGAATGTATATTTATGAATTTTGTTTACTTTAAAATATGCATTATTATGGTAGATGATCTAGAGATTATTTATTGTGATCGATTATTTATTTTTCCTTCAAGTTTGTCATGACCTAATCTTTTGAGAGTATATCGATTGGGTGTGGGTGTTTATAATAATGGTAGTAAACAAATGACTCTTACTTTTAAAAAAACGAATTGAATTAAATGTTTCATTCTTGATTTTGAGATATCTAAGTCACTAATTGGTTTCATACATATGTAGATGTGTTTCTCGGTGAGTGTAATTTGATCCACAAAACCTCTAAAACAGGTAAATGCATGTTAATGTGAATATTTTTGTTTGAACATTATCCTTTTTTGACACTTATTAGGCTGCTGAGAACCAAAAAAAAAAAATCTTGGGGGTTGTGTGTCACCAAGACTTAATAGTTTGAGCTCCAATATCTAAATTATCGACAAAAAATTCCTATAGAACCCTAAAAGTCCATGTGAAAACATCAAGTTGCCTGCTATTTTTTGAGTTTCCATTGATCAATGTTGAAGTTGGACGTTGGGCACTACTAAAGTTTGAGGTATATTTGTTTTTGTTGTTGTTCTTGTTGTCGATTCAGATTTTTGCAAATATGAGACTATTGAAGAAAGAAAAAATATGTTTTAATAGCGTTTATGCTTTAATAGGGAATCTAACTTGCAATTTTTTTTGTACAGTAACTTTCTCGGCAAAGGTAATTACTAGTAGACGGATATGAGAGAGAGAGAAAGTGTGAGAGTTGTAATGTGACAAAAACTATAAAATTTATGAGTTTTTAGTTTTTCAAATCTGTTTTAATTAGATATGATTGAGATATTTTGGACAATATAGATCCAAATAGACTTAAATCTAAACAAATTTTTTGAGTGGACTTTTTGATAAATAAGTCTAAAAAAATGGACCGGGTCTCAATTTTTTTTCCTTCTTTTTACCTTTTGTTTGAATTTGAGCCATTTTTGGATGGAATTTGGACAAGTTTTTCTATTTTACAAAGTTACAAAATACTTTCACCAGCTTTATATTGGACAATGAGTAGCATTTTTTAATGTAAAATTTTCTTTTGCATAATAATAGGGATTTTAAATGTATAGAAATATATATAATTTATGATTTATTTCTAAAATCAGAGTTTAACAAGAAGTTTTTTTTGGAATATATTTTAGACTCGGACTCTAACTTCGACTTCTAACCGTGAGTTTTTCTTCTGACTCCGTCAAACTCTAATTCCGAAAAAAGCGGAGTTGGTATGGAGTCAGATAAATAGTCGAATTTTTGGATTATTGCCCACCCTTATCTATGTAGGGTAAATACAGCCGCGTAACACATACGAAACGTCTCAGCATGAGAAATCTGACTTGTATGGTTCATCAACGACAACAGGGGTGGACCATCTCCATCCAAAGGTCTTTGACGTGTCCTTTGTGTCAACAACACAAAAGCTAAGTCCACTTAAATTAGAATAAAATTTGGAAAAGAATTTAGGAGGAGGAAAGAAAAAATAAGCAAGAATAAAAATATGGGTAAATTGCATCAACAGTTTTAAGGTTTACCATTTATTGTACTTTGATAATTTTAATTTCGTCAATTTCGTCTTTAAAGTCAAAATATTGAGTCAACGTAGTCATTCATAGTAACCGTCGTTACCAAAACGTGACAAACATGTGATATTTTTCATCAATTTTGGTAACGGTAGTTAGCGCCATCGACTACATTGGCTAAATATTTTAACTTGGGGAATGGAATTGATGAAATTTAAATTTTTAGGATCAAAGTGCAATAAATAATAAATCTCAGTTACTATTCGTACAATTTAATCAAAAAATACTAAAAACATTGTACATGGTCCATCGAATCCACTCTCTTTCAGACAAAATTGTCATGTGAAGTTCTATGAAAGCAATCGGAATCATCTATTTTTTTGTGGTTAATTATAGAGATAACTAGTTTTTTAATTATTATGTCTAAAAACTAATTGGACCATTCGTTATTAGACTCGTATTTAAAACACAAATCACATATATTTGATTTGTCAGAGACTCATATTAATTTCTAAAATACACAAATCCGACTATATATTACATCAGAGATTAGAAAAATAGTTACTATCAACCACCCCAAAGTGGAACAAGTCACTTATATAAGAACTCATGGAGGATGAGCAAGTATTAACAGTTTGCAAATTAGTGGTGCCGGTGGTGGTTTAAGAGGAGCTGGTGCAAAAGAATTTTTTCTAGAGTAGGAGGTCCTGTATTCGAATCTCGTCGTCACTATAATTATTAAAAAGATTTTGACTGTGAGGGGTGTGTTGAGATATAGATATATAACTTCTTCGACAGTTTAAATTTTTGAAATAGATGGTTGTTTAATATCTTCTACTTGGGTTCGATGTACTTCTCTTTCTTCCTCCTTCTCTTTTTGCTTTCACAAAGGCTGTTTGGCCCTAGTAAATTCTCTCGGAACATGCTCTGCTAAATTAAATCTATAGTCCTCCTTTGATGTCCCCTGGGATGTGCAGCTATGTTTAAGTGATAAGGATTAAGGAGTCATACAACTTGGAAAATAACCCAGTCTTCCATTTTTTACGTCTCATTCGCTTTCTTTATTCTTCGTAACTTCTATAGTTAGTAACCCGTTATCGATACTTGATCATTATTTAATAATATATTTTCGTAAAGATTTGATGAATATATTTTAAAATTCATCGACTTTCACATCAAATATAATTAAAGAACTTGTCACATATGAGTATGTAGATAAAAATGGAGATACACTGTTGTTTTAACTATTAACTCATGTATATATGCCATATGTTTTTTCAACATCAAGATTAATTGTCACAATCCTTGCGCAATCTATATAATACCAGAAAAAAGAAATGTACGACAAACGTGCGTTGTTGGCACCGACAATGGGACAACTGTTCTAGTTGGATTTTCTGCCGACTACTATGCCAAAATGTTTGAAGGTGTTAACCCAATGTGTATCAGATCGTTATCCAGAAATATCAAATAATCATATGGATTCATTAGGCTACCCAAAAAGGGTGGAAATGGTGGTTAGAGGCCGGTGGCCACAACGAACAAGCTATTTTGATCACATAAGGTCTCGTGTCAGTTGTCTTGCAGAAGTATGTCAGGTTAGTCACACTCAAAATAATAGAGAATATAACTAGATCTTTTCCATTATACTCAATTTTGTTAAATGGTAAATTACTAGTTGTGCATAGTTGAGAGACTCGTACAAATAGTAAGTTTCACTTGGAGTTATGGTACGAGATTTATTATTGAGTGAAAATGTAATAAAAAAAATCTCAATATAGATATATATGTTTTATAATCGAGAATCGACTCGATCATAAGTTATTTGGACTCTCACTGCCATGACAACTCAGTGATGGACACAACCAATTATTGCGGTTTTGGTAAAGCCAGCGTGACAGCCTTATGCACTAAACAATGTCAGTGTTGTACCTTTTTGCATATTGGTCGGACCAGTTGTTGGTCTGACACAACCAATCTCGAACTGTGGAGGCATCTTTCCACGATACCGCCACGAACCAAGCTCAGAGATAGTAGAGCCAAAACAAGTCCAGCAACAGTTAGGACAGCTCCAGCAACAATTAGACATCTCAATCATGATTCAAAGTATTGGACAATTTGAACTGCGTCGAGTCAAATCCGACTCAATACCTTCCTTTCCAAAACCAATGAATGTTTGCTTGTTGACGTCTCGAATGACTAACCCAAGTTGTCCAAATCACCATTCTGTGATGACGTGACCATGTGCCTCAACTCTTTCTGAATTAATGGGTGATGCTAATGCTACCACCTTGAAAAATGAACTCTATCAATTCAGCATTGTAAAGGAAGAAAAATGAGGCACCTTTACATCAATTTCGTATCATTTAAGTAAGAAAAATGGATAGCTGTATCGTGGAACATCTGGAATTGCATCAGATCACGTCTGTTCAAGACTGGAAGATGGACTCTGTAGGTCTTCATTTCTAACAGTACAATCAAGTCAAATGGCAGACCTAAGACAAATTGTAGATCGAATTCTGCAAATATACCATCCCAATCTAATCAAACAACTCTGTGCATGTGTCCGTGAATGCACATCACTTATAGAGACAATAAACTAGCAATTTAGAGTACCAAGAACTTCCCCTTTGCACGTTGTCTTGAAAGCTCAGACCAGGTTTGTTAAAGACTAGAAGTTGGGCTCAGTTCTAAATTTCTTCAAATCTTAGAATACCAATCTGGTTAAAATGTCCTCTAAACTGAGAGGTCTATGAAATGATATTCACTGTTGCCCTTTACGTTCATGTAGCCTTTGTAACTCTCCCAGTAAGCATGACTAATTCCTTATATCATACACAGGCTTTTGGTGTTGCAGTGAATCATGCAACTACTAGCACTGATATTAATTCAGGCCCCCAACTTTTGCAGCTACCGGAAAAGTTTTCCCACTGTTTGGGGTTGCTAGCATATCAGTCATCAAGCCCATGAGCCTGTTCTTTCCCTTTTCAGTCTCCTCAAAACATCCCATTTGGCCGTGAGAACCTTTGCACATCACCCTGCCAGTAGCATTTTCCATTGCTTTGATGCTGCTGTTCTCCAAACCACTTTTGCGCCAAGCGACATTACTGATATCTGCGGCTAAGGCAGCCAATTCATGACTTGCAAAGGACAAAGGCTCTGCATAATCGACAAATTCAGGCCCCAGGAAAGACTTCCGAGGGTTTCTCCCACCTAGAGTCTCAAAGCAGCCATGGCCACATCGGTGTGGCACCAATCGCTCACTATAAGCTCCTTCAATCAATTTGATGATCCCCATATCTGGTTTTGAGCCTTCATTTAAAGGCCCTTGGATAGGAGCTAGTTTTGAAAATGTTAACAGAGTTTCGGGGGCATCTGAAGGATTATAAACACTAAACGCACTAACGCGAGCCAGAGGGCGGATAAGAGTAGGAGGTTCTTTTGCTTCAATACTAAATTGACCTTTTGTTTGAGGCCTGTCTTCACATTGACTATCTACGTTTTCCCGAGAACTCACATCTTTTGCTTCCAAGCTTCTGAATGAATTGAAATCCCCACATGATAGAGTTTCTTCTGATGATCCTTTTGATTTGTCTTCACTAACATCCTCCACCATCCTGCTGGAATCCATCTTAAACTTGCCTAGTTTTATGCATCGGCGCCTCAGGGTAGAATTCCAGTGGTTCTTAATGGCATTATCTGTTCTCCCTGGCAAAAGCCTTGCAATTGAGGCCCATTTATTTCCATGGATATCATGGGCCTGAAGGATGATGCGATCTTCTTCATCTGCCACACGTTCCGGTTTTGTCAGTTCATTCATTCAGACTAAAATAATTTTTAGCATGCCATGTTCACATCTTTGTGCATTCACATATGAAAAATATCTTTGCTAAGTGACAAGTGAGAAACATTTCAAAAGTGGTCCCAAGGCAGAAAAGCAAGAGTCATCCAAGCATCCTAACTCTGCTGTGGGAACTAGAAATGTTGTGAGATGGTATGCATGTAGATAGACATCGTGAGGCCAGGACGACTATGAAAAAGTTGAACATTGCATGTGATCCTCACTTCAGTTTCCAGATCAGGACAGCAAGTGAATCGAAGTGACATAATTTTTTCTGTGTCACATTTTGAGAGGGCTTGAAATAATCAAACTGATGTAAGAATTAAGCTTTGGCGTGAGTCACCAATTGCTAAAATAAGAAGAATTAAGAACAACCAGAAAATAGCAATGCTCTTGCTATCTAGTGCTAGGGCTGCAACAAACCAAGATATGCACATGCAGCTCACTTCAACAAGTTTGAAGCATGTTCAAACTAAATTATCCTTGTAAAAGAACCAAACAGCAGTTTGAGTTTTAAGCTCAATTCTTAACATAGCCCAGCTCAAGCAAGGATGACAAGAAAACTTTGCATGGGATTTAAACTAGTCTCATAAGATAAGAAAACTTGCAGTTACTCCCAAATTCAACATTTGTTTCCAAGGAACAAACAGTGAAATGATTAACTTTTTTGCAATAACCTTTTTGCAACAACCATCCAATGGATGTTTGCCAATCATTTTGATGCCATGTCAAGGAAATAGTTTAAAACTTTAGAAACTGAAGTTACAACTTTAGTAGGGAATAAAATAAGCCATAACAGGAAACACTATAAATTTTTTGTAGGTAGAATCTAATATTTATCTTTATTATGTCCTGACAATGAATCACAAGATTCCAATGTGTACTAGTTTCTAATAAAGGTTTGGAACACTAACGTATTAGGATATGCAGAACATTGGAACAACAAGAATATATGGTGTTTGTAGGTAATCTATGCTAAAGATGGTGAGAACAGGTTGATACATATAAAAATCGGGGTCAATACATATGAAGATTTCAACATATAATCACTAACAAATGAATGAGTGAATTCATATAAGTTCGTTTAGTCCATCACAACTTAACATGTTATCAAAGAAGATTCAAACTCAAGCGCATCAAGTTAAAAATGTTTCAAAACTCTTCTGACATAAATTAGAATGTCCCATAAAAATAAAATGTAACAGCAGGGGAGTTTAATTGCAGGACGTATAATGTGCTAAACAAATTCGACTGTCCAAGATCTATGCATATTATGCTATCTGATATTAGAATTGCTTCAATCAAGATAGACCCACTAAATGCATGACCTAAGTTAAGCCACGTGTACTAAGCGTTGATTCCAGTATTAACATTTGGCAATGGCAAATATACATCTAAATTTACTGCTTCCCCATCATCTTCGTTTCTCTCTCTCTCTAATCTTCCTTCACATATAAATTAACACGGAAATTTTCAACGTTGATTCTGATGATACCATAAACCACAACTCAGCTTAATTCATTACAGCTCAACGTTACGGAGCTCAGATAGAGTAACCTGTCTTGAACCATCGAACGCAAATACACCAACTCCCAGATCACCAAATAATATCCAAGCAGCTTGGTTACAGCCATGCCAGTTCGGATCTAGCTATTAGAAGAAGAGGAAGAGCTCAACAAGCCTATCTTACCTTGGGTAGCTACCGCCTCAAGAATGTCACCTCACTGCTTCTAGAAGCCTCTGTGTCCTATGGATATGATTGCCTAATGGCTAAATATTCCTCAATGATTCTAACTGATTGAGGGAACCACACACCCATGGACAAAGAAAAAAACTAACCCTTGTATAAATAGAAAGAGATGCCCTAATGAAAACGGAAAGATCCCTATGTAATCAACTTGCTTTTTCTTCTTCAAAGGATACACAAAAAAACAAGGTAGAGCCTCCATTAAAGTGGATTAGCCCATTAATGTGGCTTAGTCTAAGTTTTTCAGCTGGTGAATCACACATCTTCTTGTGTTTTAACTTACTAAGTTGTTACAACTTACAACACACTTCTATTTACACGGTACACAAAGCACCAAGCTCACTCAGCTCCCGAACAATTTACCCACCTAGACCTCATAGGTAGTTCATAGATCACTTGAACACAACCGCTGCGCGTACCTCTCAGCTTTTCACACCATCAGATTCTTTAGATATTCCCACATTAAAAATTACCAACTGATAGCAAATTGAAGTCTGTGCCAGTTATTGACTCTTCAGTGTTCATAGCTCTCAAAATTAATCAAATATCTAAAACCCCCATAAACCCCAGCTAATTGCCATTATGAATGCTTGCACAAAAAATTAAAAAAAATACCCATAATTCGCATCAAATACAGTTCAAAATCCACACAAATAACCATAACTACAAAAAAAGTACAATGGGGATTGAATTTACCAGTAAAAGGCTTGCGTTTGACGGCGGGATCGAGCTGATTGCACCACCTTAGGCGACAAGACTTTCCCGATCTCCCGGGAATTCCTCTAGCAATCAAGCTCCAATTCCTCGCCCCGAAATTACCCACCAGTCGACTCAGTACAGCGTCCTCTTCGAGTGACCACGGTCCTTTAACTCGGTCAAGTGATTTTTTATTCCCCACTGGGTCATTGCTTCCGTTTCCGTCTCCGACCATGGCCACATCATCCTCCTCATCGCCGCCACCACCTCCTCCTCCATCGCCACTACCACCGGTTTCCCTCCCAGGACCACCGTCTGCGGCGGAGGCATTGCCGTTGATGACGGTTACCTCCTCCATCTCGGCATCTTGCTCCATTGTCTTCGTCTTTTCAGAATGTACACAGTACGTACCGGCCTAACTGCCAAGTGTTCACTGTGAGTGGAGTCGAGTCAAGGGCTTCCACTTGGGTGTTTTCGGGATTCCACTTTTCCTATCGTTGTAACGTGTTTTTCTTTAATGACATATGTATCCTATGCTATAATTACCTTTTATCCAAGAAAATGTTTTTTTGGGTTCGCTTATTTAGCGAAATAATAGTTTAAAATATATAAAAAAAATTTCAAATTTTTTATGTTTTTAGTTAGCATAAAATAGAAAATGATAATTTTTTTTATACTTAAATTGTCTCATTTTTTTTGATCAAAAAAAAAAAATTGTCACAATTAACCAACTTCTTTTTCTAACAAAAAATATAAGAAAAAAATAAAAAAGTTGTGATCAATAACTTAACTTTTTATTTTACTCTTATTTTTCTTAAAATATTTAATTACTTATTAATTTTGAAAAAACTTAGTATGGGTTAGTCTAACCATATAATTTGGTCAAAAATCTAAGTTCAACTCGATCATTATCCCAAAATTAGGTTAGGAGTTAATTTTTTTTAAACAAATTAATTTTTTATTTTAATACATATTTTTTTCTTCTCTAGACCGAGTTAATATAACTAAGGATAATTTAGATGATTAAATTTTTTGGAAATTTTTTATTCTAACAAAATGCAAACATGAAAATATTTATATTTTATATTTTTTTATTTTTATTTTTTTGGGGGGTGCAATGTCTTCCCTAAGTTCAAATTCATTTTTTTATTATGATGAAATGTTAACAAAAGATTTCAATCTTCTACCCAAATATATTAATTATCAACTCTATGAGTTGCACGAGTAATTAATTAAGGCGCCATGTATTAAATTGTGTGCATTAAAGAATTTGCAATGCAACTATCCATTAAAAAAAGTACAATTGAGATAATCCTTAGTTTAAAAATATCTCAATATCCCCTTGAGAAAAATGGTTATATAATCAAATTTTACTAATCTTCAATTCTCCGTTCTTTTTCTTGTCTACCTCCACTCAATTCGACGACTTCTCTATTCTCCAACTCCCCACCATCCCATAGGGCACACACACCCCCGACCCCCATTCTTCTCAAGTCAATCAATTGTACTCCACTCAAAGTTCTCCCAACCTTATTGTCTGATCCCCTTCGTTCGACTTGGAACCATCCTCTTTGAGCATGTCAAAATCCATCATCATTCTCTTTTGACAAAAAAATTAGGAACTATTAACAAATGAATCGTTGGTTTAGTAGGTAAGAACTCGAATTTTTTTAGAGCAACTCCAATGCTGACCATTCTTCCTTTTTAGCTATTTTGGCAAGCAACACTCAAAAATTCAACTCCAACTCACTAGCTATCCTCCTTGCCAAAATCTAGGAGGTCTTCATGCTCGCTAGATGTGGAAAGGCCAAATTTGCTTGTCACTTGTTACTGCTCCTTGCTGCTACTCATTGCTGTTGCGTACAGAACTTCTTCAACTGTGTGAACTAGGTATTCATCTCCCCCTCCTCTTGCTGCCAAAAATCCCTCTCCCTCCTTACTGATTTGCTCTCTATTTTGCTGCCAAAAACCCTTCCACTCCCTATTGTTTTGCTGTCAAAGACCCTTCTCCCTCCCCACTAATTTGCTCTCTGTTTTGCTGCCAGAAACTTCTCTAAATGTTTGTTGAGATAGAGATCTGCAAAGTGGCTCTAACAAGTTTGTTTTTTCACTTTTGTGCTGAAATCGGATATTTTCTAGCTTTTGAAAAGGATTTTAGTTGATTATATATTTGTAAAGCCATTGAAATTTGTAGATGGTCTTAATATTGCTAGGATATAATGATCTAGTGGTTCGATCTGCTGGATTGTGAATGTGTAATCTAATTTTATGTTGTTGGAACATCAATCTAGGATCAATTTATGCTTACATGGATTAACTTGTGATTAATTGTGTTTGTGCTTTTCCTTTTTGGGGTACAAAATCTCATTTCTAATAACATCCATTCAATTGCCTAAAAATTTGCATGTCAATTCAATGGACCTTCTCTGTTATTGAATGGGCATACCTATTTCTCGCAGATCTTTGAAAGATTATTCTTCTTTTTTTGTGGCAACTGAACCCATCACTAGGATGAGTGTTACATATTAAATTTTGACAAAATGGGAATGAAATGTTTTTTAGAAATAGTCATCGAGTAACATATTATTATTAAGTATTTGAATTGTAGAAGTTGTTGGCTTGGGAAGCAGTTGTGTAACTTAGTATGACAAGGAAGTGATGCTAGAGATTCCTATAGTATACTTAAGATATAGAAAATAAATTTGTTGAAGGTGGCTAAATTATACAAAGGTTTTGGTATTGTTATATTTCGATTTTATGTGATTGAATTATATCAGATATCTTAGTAGTATAATATGAATTGGTTTTTTTTTTATTTGAAGTGGATGGGTGTTAAATTGCTATTAAGTTGTATTATTAGAAATTTGATTAGAATTATTGTTATACTATACTTTGGGTTGAATTCTAGGCATTATATATGGAACCATTTGAACAGTGATATTACTTCATCAATTTCTAGAAAGACGGAACAAACTTAGATGAGTTTAATATTGAGTCAGAAGACCAAATATGTTATTCTTCACTAATATCACCTTTAATAGAATTCACCATCAAAAAAGTTAGAGGCAACAACTTTACAGTTGAGGAGGACTTAGTTTTAAAACGTATTGGCGAAGGGTTTGAGAGTACTTCAACAAATACAAACTCCAATTAGAATGTAATCGCAATCAGGTTTTTTTGATGAATCGTTAGTCGACAATTCAACTTATTGGTGGTTGTTTTGATCAAATTGAAAGGTTGAATCAAAATGGTCTGACTAAGAAAGACAAGGTATAAGTGAATTTTAATTGCGAGTGTGAAAATAGGGCATTTTTTTATGATACTTAGTATTATTGTACAATTTTTAGATCCGTGATGCAAAGAAGGTGTACAAGGAACTGCATAAAATGCTCTTTTTCATATGAACATTGTTGGAATGAGTTACGGTATCAACCAAAATGAATAGAGGATTCTCAGTCTAAGAAGCAAAAAATAAAAGGTGGTACAACTCCTAGCAACTGTAATCCTTCAAAATTAGAATCAGTAAAAAAAAGAGATAACAGTTGTTTATATGGGGGCTTAGATAGGCAAACTAGAAGGAAGGCCGCGAAAGAGCGAGCAAGAAAGTCAAAAAGTAAACTCTCTGAAGGCAATAATTCAAGTTCAACCTATTTCGTGAAATTGTTTGAATAATTGAAAGAGAAGAAAAAGATGTTGATGGAGAAGAAAGTCGAATTTATGGCAAGATTGTATCTTCAAGAACAAGAGAGACTAACTTATGATAAAGAGAAGTTACAAATCAAGAAATTTTTTGATCGTAAACAAGACAGGAGACATTGTATTAAGTTGGGAAATTTTGATTACAATTAGAGAGAAGGAAAGCCTTAAGCTCGAGAGGTGGGGAGCCTAACCAATCCAATGGAAAAGAATTGATTAGTGTAGAAATGGCCACCTAGTGAGCAGCCCTATTATAGGGCCTAGGCTTGTGTAAAAAGCGTAAGTGATGTAACATAGCATAAAATCTAATATCATCCATGATGACGCTAATTTCCCACAGAGAGACATCTTCTGTAGAACTTAACTTGATAATACTTAAACAATCATTCATAATGGTAACGTTACAAATCAAAAAATTGAAGGAGGAAGAAAGAATAATGTTAAAAGACACGAGTGTCATGCCTCCGATTTAAGCTGAATATTTTAAGCACCGCCAGATGAAAATCATGGGAAAGAAAATGTAGTTTTTTCTTATTCATAAACTATCAACTTTTGAGTAGTAGTACAACAAACAAGTATTGTAATATTATGTATGCTTAAATATTTGTAGGCAATGAATGTTTAAATATTTGTAGAAAATTCATAGCATATTACTGCCTAGAATATTACATGCATAATCCACAGGTGCCTGACTAGATTAGTTTGGAGTCTCGAATTAGTGTCTCTGTCTCTAATGTGATATTGAGTATAAATAAATTGGAGCAGTTTTGAACTTTGTTTAAATATCAATGTAGTAGTAAGAATTTCATCCGATGCATCATAACTAAAGGCCATCTTATTATCGTCCCTCTCATCCTTGACAATCATGTTATGCAATATTATGCAAGCCTTCGTAATATTCTTAAGCACATCAAATTTTCAGAAACGTGCTGGTCCACGAACTATAGCAAATCGTGCTTGGAGCACTCCAAATGCTCTCTCAACATCCTTTCTGGTTGACTCTTGAGCTTGTGCAAAATGTATATGTTTATTGCCTTTTGGAGATGAAATTATTTTGATAAACGTGACCTACTTTGGATATATACCATCAGCAAAATAATATCCTATAGTATAATCGTTTCCATTGACGGAGTAATTAACTAGAGGAGCCCTACCTTCTGAAAGAAGAGTAAAAATAGAAAAACATTCTAACACATTTATATCATTGTGAGATTTAGGTAATCCAAAAAAGGCATGTCAAATCCATAGATTATATGAAGCCACCACCTCTAAAATAATTGTTGGTTCATAGACGTGACCAAAGTACATACCTTTCATTGCTGTTGGACAATTCTTTCATCTCTAATGCATGCAGTTAATGATACCTAGCACCCCAAAAAATCCACGTCTCTCACCGATTGTCAATAATCTAGCAATGTCTGCACTGTTTGGTAACATGAGGCACTCATTAGAATAAATTGCTACTATGACCGATACAAATCTTTGAAGACTTTCTATTATGGTGCTTTCGCCGATCCTCACATAATCATCAACAACATATGCTGCAACTCTATAGGTAAGCATTCTTATGGCAACAATCATCTTTTGAAGGGGAGACGACAATATTTTCAAGAGCATCACTTTTTTGGACAAAGTATGAATTATAAGCTTCCACAATGGATAGAATACGAACAAAAAGAGATCACTTCATTCAAAACTTCCTCAGAAATAAATTTGGGGGATAGGTCGGCG